TTTTGAAAAAAGAATATTTTTAACCTGTTTTATGATAGTTAGAATGACATTCTGTTCAAATTCATTTAATATCAAAATGGACATGCAAGGATTTTCTATGACCATTAAACATCTTTAGTGTTAAATGGTTTCTTCTGCTTAAAAGAAACTTGTCATTGCATGTGCACTTCAAACTTACGATGTGCTTGGCAATGTTGCTTCTTTCCTTGAGTGCTCTGAAGTTCATAGTTTTGGGGCCTGTGCTTTACTGATATGCTACTTTGTGTTTGCAGAACAAGCTTAAAGTGTATCTTTCTCCATTTCTATATGGCATGCGGTACACATCCTATGGTCGCCACTTCACCAAATTGAACAAGCTTAAAGAGGTGAATTCATCTTTTATTAGCTTTAAAGTAAGATATTTTAGGTTTACTTGTCTTATTTTCATTTTTCACACAAGTTTTCTGCCACCAAAACTTCTCTGTTTGGGGTTCAATACTGGAACTTACGGCTTGCTCACAAGGACATGGTTGTTCTTGTAGTTATCCTTGTTCATGAGAAAGAAGACCATGTTCTTCGATTTTCTACGAGCCATGAATGACTTAATGTTGCAATTAAGGCAATTTTTAGTGAACTAGAACTCTGAAGTATTTTATTTATTTATTTATTTTTGCGCCCACCTATACTATAAACAATGCACAAACTTCTCAAAATGAAATGCATGTGCATACCTGCATGTACAACCTTATGTCGTCCGTGATTCTATACGTTGCATGTGATAAAAAATTGGATACAGATGATACTTTGTATTAATCTGAAATAACTATGATGGTGCTAAAGGTCTAGTGCCTCTAGTAGGTATCCAATCTATATTCTTTTGATTGTACAAGGTCGAAATTTACACAAGTGCTGACGATCTGCTTTCCCCATGCAGATAGTCGATATTCTCCATTGGTATGTTAAAGACGGTGACATGGTAAAAGCCTAATTTATCCTTCTAGCATGAAATGGTCTATTTGTGTGGCTGTACTTTTTACTTCTGCATTTATGTTCTTTATTTTGTTGTTTGGTTCTCTTGCTACTCCATTATCCAAATACCGCAAATTTGAACGGCAGGATTGGTAGGGAAAATAGAAAATGCTATATTTTTGTCCTGCAAAGCACTGTTAAATAGGATCTTTATATAACTACAATATCGGGAGGGATACATGAGGAATGTGATTTCTGGTTCTACTTGAGTTACCTTGCTTTCCTTCATGCTGCAATTTGTATTTGAGAGCTTTTGGTACAATTTTTGGATTTCTGTTTGATAACTCTATTCTTTTGCTTGAAGTTCATACTTCTTAAATTCAATTGAACCTCAGCTGCTTCATATTAACTTGAAATCTACTATCTCAACGAGCTATATCAGAACCTCTATGGCTTCTTATATGCTCTAGTTTGAAACTTATTATGTTGTGTTTTCTTTTGTATCAGATAGTTGACTTTTGTTGCGGTTCAAACGATTTCAGCTGCCTTATGAAAAAGAAGCTTGATGAGATGGGAAAGAGTTGCTCATACAGGAACTATGACATTGTACAGACAAAGGTGGTCTCAATATTCACCGCCATATATTTATGCTAACCATGTCATTTTGTAAATGAAGTTTGGAATAAAAGATCACGGCCATACATAACATAGAAATCACACTTGGAAAGGGTGGACAATTAGTTAAAGCAGCGGGTGTTGTAGCGAAACTGATTTCTTGGTATATCTAGATAATAGGTAGGAGCATAAACTGAAACATTCTGGAGCTACAAAGATAGTTATTAAATTGTTAGCACCGCATAAAAACATTCCTCCTAGAGTAGCTGTTAATACGAATAAGAGAAACTCTGTTATGAAGGTTACTAGTTGATGAAAATGCTTTTCTTGCCTTGTTATAATTGTTAAGCTAAACCATCAGATAACCTTTTACTAGTTTCTTTCATGTGTTACAATGATGCAAAATATGCTTGTTGAGCCATCTTGGCTCTCCCTGGTTCTTTTCTGACTGTGGATTTTCATATCTAGGCTCTAGCCATGATAAACTGCTATAGTCTTCATATTCTACTTATTTTCTTCTGCAATGGTGTTATTTGGACGGTTTCATTAACTTTGTGCATCATCTGAGCTTAAACTGTGAATAACTCAATAAACACCTATATCTTCTGATAATACATTTTACTTTTTGTATTGATCATTTTTTCGACTGGCAACCTTTATGGGCTGCACCACCTGACCTAGAAACATGATAAGGTACTTCTCCCTTGACTTTTTTAGTCTTCAAAACTTGTGTGTATTATAACATTTTAAGGATTACAGTATTGTTGTGTACATTTGTGTTGATACAATTGATTCACCTGAAATGTAATCTGCAATTTTAAATCAACTGCCCAAATTTACATGGTTGCAGTAATGATGAGAAGCTGATCCTGAAGTTTGTTACATTTCTATTTTTAGATTGATTTTCATATCTTTTATGTCTTACAGAATAATTTCAATTTTGAGAAGAGGGATTGGATGGAAGTCCAACCCAATGAGTTGCCGCCAGGGTCAAATTTGGTGAGAAACACTTCTCTCTGTGCTCAATTTGTGTTCCCTCATCAAATTCTTTACAATTGATTTCTATTTTTGGCCAGATCATGGGGCTGAACCCTCCCTTTGGAGTTCATGCAAGTCTTGCAAACAAATTTATCAGTAAAGCTCTTGAGTTTAAACCGAAACTTCTAATCCTTATTGTGCCACAGGAGACACAACGGTATTTTTTAATTATCTTTTCCTTTTTACTCTTCCCCTTACCCTCCCACCCTGTTTCATGTGCCATTCTTCAACAACACCCCCCCCACCCCCCCCAA